CTCAGTCAACATTATCGGATAATTCACTTGATTCATTATATGATTCAACTGCAAATATTGAACAATCATCATCACCAATTGTACTGCGTCGTACCACACGACAATTAGCAGCAATAAATACAAATTCAAAACGTCCTATTGATACAGATGATCAAATACAAAATCCAAGAAAATATCCTAAATTGCTTACACAAGTAATTAAAGATGGTGTCAAAATGGAATGTCAAGATCATTCAATCATTTCACCATCAACAGCAATTGCTGCTACACGTCCACTTAATCAAGTAAGCTATTTATTACAAGAAAAAATTTTCTTTTATTAATTATATTACTAATCGTTCGTTTCGATCTAATGGATTCATTCATAGAAACTATTGATTTAAGATAGTAAAGTCTTGGGATCGAATCACTTGCTGAATATTGTGTAGAGCCTTGAAATAAACTACAATTTCTTTTATTAACTACGATCTAAAAGGAATGTTGAAGTTTCAAAATAGATAGAATAGAACAAACTCCTTTTAGTTAACAAAAATAAATTTCTTGATTACAAATGTCAAAAAAAGGACTTTTTTAATACCTGTTTGCATCATTTTTGACTTAATAATCATGTAGTGAACAACATGAAAAAAATATTTTGCTACAGTTATTTTTCTTTCGATGTAAACTCATAAAATAACATGAGATTTATTCTAAAAGCTTTATTAGAACTAATAACCAGTGAAAAGCATTCTGCAGGCATTTTGTAATAATTTCTTATCAATAAAAGGTACCAAGCTGTACTTTTCTGTTACGATCTTCCATGCATGTAATACCTAAACAATAGGAATGGGTGAATTTGAACCAGAATTAACGATATCATTACTAGAGCTGGGCAAGTAAGTATTTTCTCGAGCCCCGTACTTGCCAGATCTGATCGACTTGGAACTTAGTTTGCTGAAATTGAGTGTCTCAAGAAAATCCTTATAGCTCTTGAACGGAATATACTAAAAAGTTGGGTCTTCGGTAGTTCGAAAGAGAAGAATTTTTCCTATCGATTGGTTAGATGCTAAGTCAAAACCAAGTGCGAAATGCCTTTGGAATATCTTTTTTTTCAAAATCTCCTTAAAGAACGGCAATAAATAAAGTCTTTCTCTAGAATTTTACGTATGTCAAAACCTTCTGATCGTCTTAATTAATTTGTATTCTTTTCTTTTTCATTTAGTTATCTCAAACAGCAATTAAAACTGAACCAGATACATATGATCGTAGTCATCTATTAGATAAAACTCCATCACCATCATTAAAACGATCAACAAATAATTCAATATCAACAAATTCTCAATCAACATTATTACGTTCATTAATTCGTTCACCACAAACTCCATCCTTAACAACGAAAAAAGATGCACCACTATATGATCTTTTACAGAATCTTGATTCAAATGATTCATCTATATTTGCAACAATAAATTCAACTTCAACACCACCAATAACAATAAATAATAATAATAATAATAATAATAATAATAATAATAATAATAATAATAATAATAATAATAATAATAATAATAATAATTCAATTGATCCTCTTGAACAATATCTTCCTCCAGCATTATCACAGTCACAATCAACAACAAAAACGTCATCATCAAAAGATGATTATCTTGCTGCTTTATTAAGTTCTGATCCTCAACAGCCAAATGAAATATCATTTATTCCAATAAACAAACAACAACAAACACCAATATTAACACGATCAGCATCAACATCGAGTGATAGTGGTCGTATAGCAGCTCTTGTTAATGATCTATTTAATTCAGCAACAAATGCAGCAACAGCAAATAATGCAAATGATGATTTCTTATCTTTATTAGATAATAAAGATTTTCTTGAGGTAAACAGAAAAAAAAAATTTTTTTTCTTCTAAATTTTGTTGTTTTTTAGTGTTTAAATGATCCAACAACAATTGATTCAATACTTTCACAAAATGCTACAAGTGTTATTGAAACATCATTTTCATCACCAACACCTAAACGTAGTGAAAAAGATGAAAAAGCTATTAGTGAAATATATAAAACACTTGTTACTTCATTTAATCCCGGTAAAAATTTAGTTTTAGTTTTTTATAAATATATTTTTATTATTAGATTTAATTATTTTTCTTTTAATAAAAAAAACAACTTATTTTTATTTCAATATAATCAGAGATATTTATTTATGATATCATTTTAATAAAGAAATTAATATTGATAAGAAAGAAAAAAGACCCAAAAAATATTAGATTTAAATACAAAGAAAATCTAGATTTGAATGCAAAATCATTCGAATAGATTGTCTGAAACTGAAAACAATACATAGATTATTTGTAATTATATAATCTTCTCTTGTTTAGGTCCGTCTTCACTCGACTTACCTGTTGATAATAGTCCTTTCAGTAATTAGTTTATTCTTTAATTAAAATTCATCTAACTTTTTTATTTCTCATTTCTCAGGCTCTCTCACCGGTGACTTTTTATTAGCTGAAAATCCTACTATGTCAATACCATCAAATCGAACAGTTAATGCTGATCCATCTATGACAATGTATCGACAACAACTACCATCATATCCATATCAAACTCCTTCACAACAACAACAATCATTAACAACAAATGTAAAATTTATTTTTTCGATTCAAAAATCTTTTTTTTTAATTTTATTTTAAAATTCTAGACTTCTCAATTTTCTGATTGTCTTTCACTGGATATGATTGATGCGAATAGTTTTCCACCAAATAAATCTTTATCGCCAATCAATAATTCTTATTCATTACAGCCACCACCACCATCATCAGCAACAAACACAACAACACATATGGAAACAAACCCTATGATGATGTATTCTCAACAAACACCAACACATATTCAACATCATCAAGCACAAAATCAAATGTCTAATCTATTTTATCGTCAAACACCTCAACCTCCACAACAAACTATGTACAATAATTATATTCAACAGCCACCACCACCATCAAATCAAGTTGCTCCTAATTATTATTCAATGCAACAACAACAACAACAACAACAACAACAACAACAACAACAACAACAACAACAACAACAACAACAACAACAACAACAACAACAACAACAACAACAACAACAACAACAACAACAACAACAACAACA